TCACTGCCCTGGACTTCAAAAGAGCAGACTTTGGCCTCTTCAGGAACCTGCTTCGGAAGGTTCCATGGGATATAGCCCTAGAGGGCGGGGGGGGCCCTGTTGGTTGATATTCAAGGATCACCTGCTCCAAGCTCAGGAATGTTGCATCCCAACTGGAAGGAAGTGCAGCAGGAGGGCCAGGAGACCTCCACAGAAGGTTAAGGAGCTGCTGAGGAAACTTAGAGGACAAAAAAGAAGTTTATAAAAGGTGGAAGCAAGGACAGGAGGCTTGGGAAGAATACAGGGATGTTGTCCAGGAAGGTAGGGACCAGGTCAGGAAAGCTAAGGCCCAGTTAGAATTAAATCTGGCAAGGGATGTGAAAGATAACAGGAAGGGATTCTATAGGTATGTAGCAAACAAAAGACAGACTAGGGATAATGTGGGCCCTCTCCAGAAGCTATCGGGAGAACTGGCTACCCTGGGTTTGGAGAAGGCTGAGGCTCACAATAACTTCTTTGCCTCAGTCTTTACTGGCAAGTGCTCTGCCCACACTGCCAAAGTCTTGGAAGGCAGATGTAGGGACTGTAAGAATGAAGACTTTAGGTTCTCTGTAGGAGAAGATCAGGTTCAAGATCATCTTAAGATGTGCACAAGTCCATGGGACCTGATGAAATCCATCCACACGTCCTGAAGGACCTGGAGAATGAACTTGCTAAACCACTGGCCATCATATTTGAAAATATTCCTGACAACTGGAAAAAGGGAAATATAACCCCCATTTTCAAGAAGGGGAAAATGGATGACCCAGGGAATTACAGACCAGTCAGTCTCACCTCTGTGCCTGGCAAAATCTTGGAGCAGATTCTCCTGGAAGGCATGCTAAGGCACATGAAAAACAACAAGGTGCTTGGTGACAGCCAGCATGGCTTCACTAAGGGGAAATCCTGCCTGACCAATTTGGTGGCCTTCTATGATGGGGCTACAGAACTGATGGACAGGGGTAGAACAGCTGATGTCATCTACCTGGACTTGTGCAAAGGGTTCGACACTGTCCCACACGACATCCTTGTCTCTAAATTGGAGAGACATCAGTTTGATGGATGGTCCACTCGGTGGATAAAGAACTGGCTGGATGGCTGCACGCAAAGAGTTGTGGTCAATGGCTCAATGTCTGGCTGGAGACCAGTAATGAGTGGTGTCCCTCGGGGATCAGTGTTGGGACTGGTCTTGTTCAACATCTTTGTCAGTGACGTGCACAAAGTGTCTCTGTGGTCCCTTGTGCAAGCAGCACCAGAGGTGTAAAGAAGCATGGGGAAAATGCAGCTAATACTGATCTGGTGAATATTTCATCAGGGCCTCACAAAAATCCCACGCTCAAATGTGACACAGAGGTAAGTAAACAAACCAACCAGCTGGAGGCCCTCCAAGCTCGTAACTATTTCTGCTCATTTTTTCAGGTGTATCTACTTTGCTGAGTGCTTCTGTAAAGTTCTGTCATGTCAATATTCCATTTGGAGAAGAGAAATTCAGTTCAACTGAGTAACTGAGAGAAGCATCTGGGCCAGATGCACTCTTTAATTTTGAGTAATGTTGCTTTTACCAGTAGCTTTGGGTCCTGAGGTACAAGTAATGAGACGTCCAGGAGAGTGGTAGGTACAGTAGATAACAGCAAGATCCCACAGACACCATCTTCTTGATATAAGTGAAGTAAATACAAATAAATCCTATTTATAGCAAACTGCAGAGATCTGTCAGGCTGCACCCTGAGGCTTGTGCAATGTTTGCACAATGCCAGCATAGGAAATACTTGTTTTCTGTTATTTTGTTTTCTGTTATTTACAGTATCATCCCCAGTAGTGTTCCGTACCTCTGTTCAGACCTGCATGTCCTGTGGGAATAACATTCACGGACTGTGCCTCTTTTCTGTTGTGCTGTCTCAGGGTGTGCCTGAGCCATCCAGGCATGGAAGTCCTTCCAAGCAGCTCAAGCAAAAGAACAGTGTTCCTGGCATGTATTTGCTCTGGCTGCCTTAGGGTCACAGGAGGAAGGAAAAAGGATCAGCCACCTCATGGAACAGCTGATGTGGTAATGGGGATTACTGGGAGATAGAGAAGAGAAAGAAGGAAGGGCTGGATGAAGACACTAGTGGAAAGCTGTTGAATGTCATCACATTAAGAGCGGCATTTCTGCCTTCTGGGAACAAAGCCATCTCACATTCTCAGGTGTGTGTTTGGTATGTATTAGACAAGGTTGTGCCATGCTTTTAAAGAGTTAGTTTGAGAAGATGCTTTTCAAAGATGAACCACCTAAAAATACAAAGAATTGAAGGAAAAAAGGAAAGTTCTCATATATTTCTAAACACTTGTGGGAACTACATGCCCAGAACAGGCATCTCGTGAGCCAGGACAGTTATTCCCGGACAAGGTGAGACATCAGGCTTTCTCCATGGACTGCTCTTCTCTGCTTCTATATTGTTCTGAGCAGGCTGTCACTAACTCCAAATCACAACAGCATCTGATTCATCCTTTTTCACACACAGCAGTGGGAACATAAAATAGATTCTTAGTTTTCCCAGGCATAGTTTCTTCTCACTGGCTTTGACTTATACAGAAAATAGCAGCTACCATTGCATTAACCAGCTCTAAACCCTGAGGACTTCTTAGAAACCAACTAACCAAACTCCAAAGGATAAGTGTACACCAAATCGGCAACCCCACACTTGTTGTTAATGAGCCAATTTGCCAAAACACAGTGTAAGCCACATTCACATGCAAACACAAAGTTTTCCTTCAGCTCCTCTTCGATTCAAAATGGAATGAAAATGGGCAAATATCTGACAAAAGGCCATTTTTGCCTCTATCAATCTGTACTTTCAGAAATCACAAAGCTTCAAAACAAATGTATCAATGAAACTATGAAAAAAAACTATGAGGACTTAGAGGTACTGACAAAATACACTTGACTATCTATTGATACACTGCCTTCCGTTAGCTTTGTACCTTGCTGACTTAGCACCCTTTTCCACAGGACGTGTCCAGCCTCATTCAAGCAACCTTGGTGGACTACAGCTCTCCCTGCCTATGCAGCCCTGAGCCATGACACACCTGTGGGATGATGAGGAGCACTTCAGCTGTAACTGTCTGTCCTGGATCCAGCAGTAGCAGTTATTTTTCTCCTTCTTAGTGGCTGGTGCAGTGCTGTAGTTTTGACTTTCAGCCTGGGAACAGCGCTGATAACGCTGATGGTTTTAGTTGCTGCTCAGTAATGTTTACTCTGACCAAGGACTTCCTGAGTCTCATGCTCTGCCAGGGAGGAGGGGAAGATGGGAGGAAGCAGAGACAGGACACCTGACCCAAATTAGCCAAAGGGGTATTCCATACCACAGCATGTCATGCCCAGTATATAAACTGGGGGCAGTTACCCAGAAGGGCTAGATCGCTGCTCGAGTCAGGCTGGGTATTGGTTGGCAGGTGGTGAGTGGTTGTATTCTCTTCCTCTGTTATTTCCCTTATCATTATTATTGGTGGTAGCAGTAGTGGTTTTGTGTTATACCTTAGTTACTGGACTGTTCTTTTTTCAACCTGTGGGAGTTATATTCTTTCCATTCTCCTTCCCATCCCTCCAGGAGCTGGGGGAGTGAGCGAGCAGCTGCATGGTTCTGGGTTGTTGGCTGGGCTTAAACCACGACACTGTCACACAATACAGATGGTGCCATACCCTCTGATCTTGCTTCTGGTGCCCCTAAATCCACCCCCCCCCAACCTCCCCCCCAACTCCTGCTCTGGAGGGGTAATACCACCACTCTCACCCACCCTGGACTGCTGAAGGCTCTGGTGACCTGGGCACCAGGGATAAGTGAATAGCTAGGCAATCGGCTGAGACAGGGTATGCGTCAAATCTGACATAGTCTGTGGGCTTGATCTCACAGTGACAATCTCACAAATGGCCCTGGAGCAATGCAATCAAGCAGAAGAGCATCAGCAGATACTTGTATGACACGCAGCCATGGTCTGGAGAGGTCAGAGGGAAGGGAGAGGATTCAGGGAGTTTTCTTAAACAGAAGAAATGGATTTACAACAGTTCAAGAGCAAGCTAATTTCTAAATGAGAAGTCAAAATTTACATTTTTACCTTCCAAGACTTCTAAAAACATCATTGTAAGAGACTGTCATCACTAAAATAACCAGCAGCCATTAAGGACATCAAAATCTTCCCCTTTGTTGAAAGGCACTGCTGCTTCCACACACATTTGTCAAGTCGTATTTGTTCTGGTGTTGACTCATGCTGGACAGCAATACAGTAAAACACCAGTCAAATGATTCACTTGGATAACACTCGCGATCAAAGTTTCATTTAGAGTAGGTAACTAAAGCCCACACGGGCTTGTGTACAGAAGTCTCTTCACATGATTGTTTTATTGGCCAAGTACTGCATTGCCATCTACTGGAGAGTGAAGAAGTAAAATCCAATAAAGGGGTCTTGCGTAGTAAAGGAACTATGCTGCCTATGCATTTTTGTCTTTAACTTTCCCTGTTTCTATACAATTAATCTAAGTCTCTGATGGCTTATAAAATTGTTCTCTGTATGCTAAAGAGTTTGTAGTCTTCACTGTCTTCAAAGTTAAACCACATAAATACCACTTTTAGAGTGAGACAGGTCAAATATTGTAAATAAATGTTTCTTCAAAATGAGCTCACGTGGTCACTTTAGAACTGGAACTACTAGATAAGCAACCAGAAAAAATGCTGCTAAGGATTAAAGCTTTGTTAGTCCTGAACTTCTGTATTTGTTTGACCTTTGTGGTCTAACAATTGTAAAAATGGCTAATAAATGGCTAAATAATATTACTCCTGAGATAAAATTACTACCAACAGAATTTATGCCAAAGGCAAATTAAAACAAAATATCTAAAGCTTTCTGCCTCTGTCCATCTCCTTTGGCCTGTGAAATGAATCTGTGTTATTGAGCTTATTGATATACAGTAAACTCTTCCTGCCTTCCAATCTTTTTTATGTCCATAAAGTTTTATGTTCATAGAACATAGGGAGAAAAAGAATTAAAATTGCTAGCACAGCCTTAGCTCACCCTGTCAAGTGCTCTGCAACTGCCTTTGATGAGCTGAAAGTGTTCCCTACAGGATGCTCCTCTTGATTGCTGCAGAACCTGACCCTCCATTAAGAGACTGTCCAGGTGGCAGGTTTATAAGAAGTGAAAAAATATAAACCTATAGGCCTGCATTAGTGAGGAAGTTTGAGGCAGATATGTGCAGTAACAGAAAGGGTGGGGTTGTGGCTCTGTCAGCTGAGGCTGGTTTGAGTCAGGGTGGTAATACAGAAAATATTTTTTTTTAAAAGATAATTTGTTTAAAAGGACAGATGATTACTCAAAGGTTGGCTGTGTCTCAAGAAGAACGTGCTCCAGCCACCACAACTCTCCTGAGTCCTGCTCACCTGCACCCCTGCCTCCTCCCCATCTTCCTTTACATCTGTCCTGTGCCAGTCCCGTATTTTCACTCACCCTTTTCTCCTCATCATCTCTCCTTGCTTGCCTTGCCATTGTATCATTTCTGAGGTGCTTGTTGCAACCTGTTCTTCGCTGCTGAATACCACAGCTGTAAGTATGTCACTCAAGACAACTTACTCATTGCTGCTGAGGCTCAGCGGTGCAGCAGAAAAAAAGGCATTTTGGTTAGGGAACATCCCATTCAGATCCTACAGCATTACAGCAAATCTGCTGAACAGATATGCACAGTGCACAGTGACTTCAGCCAGCATCAAGACTCTCTTCAAGCTGGACCGTTTTCGGTATGAATAATAAAATCATCTCATCATTTAACTGTTGCATATCAGCAAGTTAACAAAAATCACAGAAGTGATGAGACCCAGACTTTGACAATAGCTGTGATCCTAAAGCAGTGAGGCAGCACGTGCTCAAGGACAGAAGAGGAATAAGTACACTGGAGGGGTTGTTGTTATTGTATTTTATTTTTTTTTTTCATAAATGGTTGAATGATTTTTTCCTAGTGGAGAAAAGATCAGTCCTCAGTCCCCGTGGCTGGACACTAGTATTTATTAGTAAAGTGTTTATCACATCAATTTTGGGGGTTCCTTTTTCAGGAGAAAGTATATTTCTGCTAATCTCCTTTCCTTGAAAACAAAGAACATTGGTTTCATTCTCTGTGTCTCATACAGGGCATGCTGTATATCTCTGAAGAAAATCTACCACACCATCTGACATTGTTCGTACTCCATTTTGTAGCAACCGTTAAGACAGAGGCCAGTCTCAGTGCTAAGCAACATATGACTGGGAGGTAAATAAAATCACTTTACTACAGGTACAGTTATCCTTCAGGCTCTGAGTCAGGAGATCAGTCCATTGGTTCAATTTTCTGTGCAGCAGTTTGGATATTTTTCCATTTTGATGAGGCTATATTTCTTCAAAACAAAGAGAAAAAGCCAAGCAGGGTGGGGAGCTGGGTATGTTTCCAAGCAGAGCTCTGAGATACAGTGTGCAGGAGGCACAAGCTTCAGAAATAATAGTATATTTGTTTTGTTCTCTGTTGCATTAAAAGAAAAAGCTCTGTGATTCGCTGCCATTCAGAAACATTCCGTGTAGCTCTGTGCCATGCCATTTTATCTGCTTCTTGTAGCTCTTACAGGAACCAGTACCACATGCAGCCCTACAGTCCCACCACCTGCACGATGTGGGTGCCATCATGACCCCCTCTTGCCTGAGCGGGTTTACATGTTTCTCTACATTTTACCTACTGGATGTCATTGCAGTCACTGCTATCAAAGCAAGCAGTGACAGAATTGTATGCTGTACAAGAAGAGGGCAGGGATGGTCAGTGCAGCACAGATTTCCTATGAAGAGAGATTAAATAGCTCTGAGGTTGCAAGGCAGAGACTCAGCTAGGATAGGATGAAGGACAGTGAAATTATATTGGCCACAATGGAGAACAGTTTGCTCAGGGGCTTCACAACACAGTGAACCACTGATATTAAATCAACAAAAGGAAATAATTGTTCATGACTGCATGGTTAAATTGTGGCATTCCTTACAGCAAACTACTTCAGATGCCACAAAAATTAAGGAATTGGAGAGATTGTGGAATATAGCTCCATTTATGGCTGCTAAAAAGATTATGGTGTGAGCGCAGGCTTTAGATCAGGACACATTTAAACCACAGACAGCTGGAAGAGTGTACACGGGAAAAGGTGCCACTCTTTCCACAAACATAGTTTAGGATGCATCTGAAGGAAAGATAAAATAACAAGACGAAGAAATCCTCACTCCGACCTTATACTACTGTTCCTACACTAATGTATTTGGGAGACTTGCCGATAGCCTAGAAGGTGCAGCAACTGGAATGTGCAGCTAGTGCTTTCCTCCTTGTATCTCATTTTTGACATGGTCCAGACTAGAGGTAACAGTATTGATTTAGCCATAGTGGTCAAGTATAAGATAGCTTTTCTTTTGGCTAAGAGGAATTTGCAGTACCTCAAACCCCAGTTAAATTGTCCAGAAGCCTGTGAGAATTCAAATGAAATAGGAAAAGGCCTCTCAATTAAAAACTGAATAGCTTACTACTGTGTTACTCCACAGGACTTCTCAAACCTCAGTGGACTTCTCAAACTTCAACTGATGCCAACAGCAGCAGCTAGGGAATGATCTCTCCTGACTGACACTCTGTTTTCACATACAATTTATGGAGCTTAGTTAATGTGTGGCCCTAAACAATTGCTGCTTTTCTCTTTCTGTATGATAATGAATCTTGTGACAAAGCCAAGAGTACCTGATGAGAAGTAAAGGAAGCAGAAATGTTTTCATTGCAAAGATCACACAGGGAGACATGGGTGATTTAAGCACCTGTGCAGTGGGTAACACAAATGTGGCTCATACACTATTTTGCCCTCCCATCCTTTCTTTCTAGCTTACCACTAACACCTCAAAGAGCAGGAAGCAGGGAAACTATCCATCCCATTTAGTCTAGACAAACTCCAGACATTTATTTTCTCACCGTTATTCCAATAACTAATCGTTTAGGGTTGAAGCGACCGCACAAGCCAGAGAAACAACTGCAGCAGCCACTGCTAGACCTTGGGTGCCTGTCCCTGGGAGAGGCTGGGGGCTGCCATGGCAGGGGTGTAGGAGCCTGGTGGAGCACCCCCAAGGCTGGCAGCCACCCACAGTGCTCAGTGGCCTGTTCTCCAGCAAGTGCTCCCAGCACAGACCCCTCTGGGCTCCGTTTTACTGCCCTTCTCACTAAATAAATGGCTGTTCGTGATCCACAAAGCCCACATTCACCACATGTAGCCTATGCATTGAAGTATGCTCCCTGCCACTGTTTTTTATGGGAAAGTGGTGAAAAATCCCTCCGTCAGTGTCAGGTTTTTCCAGGAATAGGGCCTGTTGTGCTAAGTATGTGCACAGGAGGGAGCTTTCCAAGCTTGAGCAATCCATCTGGCAGCAGTATGCAATGCCATAAGATTTGTTTCTGCAGAACAGGATCAAGAGCTGATTTAATTGCATTAGTCACCGAGCAGCAGTACCGCTGATCTTGGACCCAGAGTGCTGGCTGGCCAGCAAGTCTCATGGTTATTTTAACTCTGTTTGTTTGACCTTTTCAGTGGTCTGGACCCCTTGAGGAGCTGGAGAATGCTTAATCCCACCGCTGCTGCCTCTGAAATGCAGAGTGGCTAGGGCCAAGCATTAGCTAAATAGGATGCACAGGCTGAGTAATGGTTCATCTTCACGGGGGAAATGTCTGCCTCTTACTGACTGACTTTAAAGAAACCATTTTTTAAATTGTGTCTGAATTTGATGGGAAAGAAAGAAATGAAGCTTGTTGCTGTTTATTGCTCTGAAGATCATTAAATATTTCTTTCTTTTATTTATTAGCTGTGAGATTTCTTTATAGGCAAATAAATTTACAGATCTGTAGAACAGAACCAAAACCTGACATTTAGACCCAGAACCACTTTTTTTCTCAAAGTTTGTGGGTGTTTGTCTCATGTCATCCACTGATTCAAGCAGGATAAAAAGAAAGAAGCTGAAAAGGTTATGTCCTAAGAGAAAGTTTTCAAAGTCCAACAGGGCTCTCTCTTTCAGCTAGATCATATAGTAACAGTGATACTGTTACTTGCTGCAATTCCTATTGCTGTAGATAAAGTATTGCACAAGTTTAAGTAAGTCTCCAAATAATATTTCCAAAGAGCTGTTTACTGCCAGATCATTATTTTTTTAACCTCTGGAGCCAAACTCTCTGAAACTGCACAGCATCTGGGAAGGAAATCATAGCTCAAATTGCCAGTGTCAGGACAGACGCCAGACAAACTTTGTTCCATAGCAGTGATATCTCACTCATTGCTGTCTGAACAACACACTTGTGTCTTGGAGTCCTGCATTCTTCAGCTTTCAGGAGAACACTTGTCAAAGCTGAACTGACACAACAATCTGTATATGAGAAGCCATAACACAACTCGCCTCCGACTCCTCTCATGCTGGATTACTCCTGCATGGTATATTCTGAAAGAAGAGAAAAGCGAGAAGGAATTTTGCACCAAATAATCTGTAAAACTGTAATATTAACAGACAAGTCATACAGAAATAAGGATGAAATATATAAAATTTATTATATAATCCCTACTATTATGAAGCTCCATACCCTATGGTATCTGAAAGGCCTCAGAAAAAACATAAACCTGATAGCCACATACACTTGAATTGTAACAAGCTACCAAAAGAATCGTATCTCTAGTTTAATAATCTTTATCTCACAGGCTTTTGGTAAAATTTGACAATGTATTTTTAAAAGATCAGACACCACTGAGTTTTGAGGTTGATAAAGATGTTCTAAATGTGCTAACGGGTTATTTGAGCTCACTCCAACACTGAGCTCACAGGGTGAAGCTAATAAAATTGGAATAGTTATCCTTCAGGGCAAGCCTGCTTTTAGCTGGTAGTACTTTACTATTTGAAACTTCCTGATTAACACTTCCTGGGATTCTGTAAATAGTTGGGGAGGAAGACATCTGTGTCCAGATAAAGGACGCTCATGGATTTGCTGTCAGAGATGTGCAGTTCCTAGAGCAGCATTACCAGTGATCCCTATGAGCCAAAGGAGATGACTGTGAAAATGATGCCGCTGGTGACACAGAGAGTGAGAGGGACAAAGGGACAGCCACACAATAGTCCCTGGCTGTGGAAGTCAGCTCGGACTCTAGTAGATTATCCAGTGAAATTTTCAATAGCAAGAAGAATAACATTTAAATTCCTCCAGGTTCATTTATGTTCTGTTTTACTCTGACCGGCAAGTCAGGGCAAGCAGCTGTGATTTCAAAATTCATTTTTATGGTGTGAAATTGCTTTACCACGTAAAGAGTTGGGAGGGGCCGAGGTTTGGTTTTAGCAGAAAGTTAGCATTGCAGACTACATTTCTTTTCGGCTAACTAAAACGTGATAACCTTTCTTCCTGTATTGCCACATAAACATATATGTTACGGCTCCATCCCAGCTCCTGAGGTTAAGAGCTCCAACTCCATTCTGAAAAGATACTCTGTAAAAAAAACATATCCGTATCTATTGGTCTCACTCACTCAAACCTCAGATCTGCTCATTTAAAAGTAAAAAAGATGCTTTTTCAAACTGCCAGTGCTTAAACTGCACCTGGCTCACAAATCATCTCTCATAGACTTCAGCTGCACCTTAACTGTGCCTGCAAGGCATCTTGCTGGGCTGGGATTATGGATGAGGCAGTCAGTGCCGGCAAGAAGACAGCCTGTCTTTCACAGCCCTGAGAGGGTGTGCAGGGCTGGCAGCCTTGTAAAACATCTTTTTCTACTTCTAAGCTAAAAGCATTCAAACTGCTGGTCAGCTGAAGCATTCTGGAAAATCACCTGAGGTTCTGCTGAATACCCCGAGAGCAGAGGGGAGAGGTGGTGCACATTAGTAGCATCATGTAGTTAATGGAAAAGGTTACTATTCTTCTGTTAATGAGGTGGACCAGCATCTTCACAACATTTCTGTTGTTCTTTCCAACACACTTATTGGGAGGGACAGTGTAGTTATGTTACATGAACCACAGAATCCTACTGGAGGGAAGAAACTGTCTGCATGGATAGTTTAAGCGATTCTTTTTAAAATGCAGTCTATGAACTTATAATTGGAAGTCATCTCAGGAAACAAATTCTTCATGGCTTTCTAGAGCATCAGGAAAACGTGAGGACCCTGCAGAGCAGCTGTGGGGAGGATGTGCTATCGAGTGAACTGCCAGCCCAGCGCAAACACCACCACCCGCTGGTCCTATCGGCAGGAAATGCTCTGCCTCCAGGGAGGCTGGGGCTGGGGAGACACTGAAACACCCATGGGAAACATCAAGCCCCTGCTGGATGCAGAGGAGCACAAAACAGTGAGGGGGAAGGCTGAAGCAAACCCCAGGAGCTAAGCCGAGGGGCAACAGTGCAACTGCACCTGGAGCCGGGGGGGGGGGGAGGGAGGGAGGGAGGGAGTTGGGAGGGAGTATCACAATTAGTTCTTGCCTGTGGGAAACTCAGAGGTTTTGCCAGAAGCAGGGAGGGAGCCTTGAGCTGGTTTTACCAAGGTAAGCTCTCTGCCACTGTTCAAACCTGCAGCGTAACCTAGTACAGAAGCTGCTTAGAGGCAGGGGAAATACTGTAAGGGGGGGGGGAGAGATTCAGATATATGATGTAACTCAAAAGCAGCCTGGTCCGGATCATGCTAAATCTTCTCTCCAAACCCAAGCGTTCCTCAAGGGTTTACCAGCTGCCATGGCCATAGGAGAAATGGTTATCTGTGATCACTTGTATTTCTTGGGAAGCTTTTGCATTTTACCCTTGAAAAAAATGAAGCAGTGTTTTGCCAGGAAGCAAAGGCTGAGCCAAGGGAGTGTGTGGGCTGCTGTCTTAATGCGCCTGATGTAAGGTGTGCAGAAAGGGTGTGTGAGTTCTCAACCTGTGTCTCCAGAAGGATCATTCCTTCTTTTATTCTCCCTTTTATAGGCTTCCCTCACACTCTGTCCTTAGACTTCTTAAGCAAATGGATTGTCATTCAGCTTTAAAGTCCTTAAGCTAAAATCTTTAACTGTAATTTAGCTCCTTTTGATTGTTTAAGCAGTGGTGGAGAACTCTTAGCATCTTTCCCTCTCCCTTTGCAACTTGTTTATGTATCTTGTGTGTAACTCTTCCAGTGACCTTTGTCTCTTGTCTGTGCTCTCTCCTACCAAGTTTTTAACTTCTAGATCTGCTTTTCCCTTCAGTGGCAGTTTTTCTTTCTCATCTATGTTTGTGTGACTCTGCATATGCTAGTAAAAAGACACAGTGCTTTGCAAAACAAGGCAATTTTCCTTGCATTACAAACGTGCACAAAAGTTCCTATTGTGAACCAGTTTGATCTGTGCTCTCACTTAGCAGAATGATAGGAACCTCTTCTGCTGAGTAACTGCCTATCTATTTTCAAGCAGCCCACTTTAAAAGTTGGCAGCTGTTTTATTTATTAAATCAATGTCATTGCAGCTATGCTTTTAAATGGCTGAGGTATTTTATTGGAGGGGCAAAGTCTGCCTAATATAGGCCATCAGAGTTGGCCTATGTTAGTTGTCACAAATCATTTGTAAGTGGCAAAGCCAATGTAAAGAACTACCGTGTAACTAATAAACGTTACCATCTTTATGCTGTAAAAACAAAACCGTTTCTTAGGAAGGAAGGTACCATTTATCAACAGCTTCAGGGTGTAAAAGTTCAAGATGGTGTATGGTAACGTAAGCATGCTTTTTGCACAGTTCTGAACATGTGAAGGGTTATTTCATTTTTATTTTGAGGCTGAGAGGCAGCTGAACCTTTAGCATGGATCTAAAGAGCACACATAAACATTGTTTTTTTTTTCCAGTTCACTTAAATCTCAGTAAACAGGGTTATGCTTACAGTGAGAATTATTTTGGCAGCTATAGCAGAAGGCAAGAGAGATGTGGATAGTTCACACCATTAAGAAAAATATAATTAGGATAAAGCATGTGGCTGTGAGGTGTGAGGGACCAGCCTCTCATTTATTCTCACCAGCAGCACAAAGGGAGAATAGGTTTATCTCCCACCAGCTGCCAGCAGCTAATTCTCTCTGTGCTTTGGGA